GGGACTTGCAAATAAGAATGTCTGGAATGTAAGAAAGCCTCATCAGCTAAAGAGGTAATTTTCTATCTTTTTTTATTGACACATATTTCAAAGTACTGACATATATTCAAAGTAAATCGTTATAATTTATGGAGTCATAATGATTAAAATAAGTGAAAGGTTAACTCTATGCTCCATAACCACTTCTCTTTGATCCAAAGACATGATCTGGGAAGCGTTTCTGCTAGAAATACTGCTACTCTATCATTTCACTTTTCCACCTCCAGTTAAACATATATCCAGGATTTTATCAGGTTTATCCAAATTTTGAGTGTGGCACTTACATGTTGAGCACAACTTGAGTTGACCTTTCTCTCCTTCCTGAACAAAGAGCAGAGCCATGGACCATAACTCTGCCAAGACCTTAGCATAGTCTGGTTCACTAAATGGTGATTGGGCTATGTGCAAACTGATAATAGCTGTGAGAGGTAATGGGACTCACAGGATTGAGGCAGCAATTAATCATCCTGAAAGCAGTTTTTTATCTTTCCAGTGAGGACCTCACAAAGTATCTTTGGTGGGGATTATACCACCCACGCTGATTATACTGAGTGGGTTATCTGCTCAGATAAATGTGAGTATTATTAATTTATTCTTACTCCTGGTTTTATACTTTTTATACAGAGAGCACTAGTCTTGCACCCCTTGCTTTTATTTCCACATATTACCTGCCGACAAGAAATGTACCGGCCAATACCTTCCACTATATCCCTTAAGTGGGGGAATAAATCCACTGCAAGGGCTTCACACTAGAGCAGGTTTTAGCTCTACTGCATGTGAGTAGGCCATTTTGGATTTCCTTTTATTGGAGTTTCTATTATATTTTATACATATTGCACTATTGGTACTCTTTTTTCTCTTTTATGTCCCTGGACTTCGATTACCTGGAAGACATATTTACCTGAAGATACAGGCAAACTTTTATAGACTTTCTCACACTTTTATATCTCATCCTGGACTTTTTGCTTGTTTTTTTTACATATATGTGATCTTATATCATCCTACTTACAGTGTAGTATATGTTTTATTGAGTAAGACCCTGATCCCTAACCCCCTGGCACACCCAATTGCTCTGTTTTATTGATAATAGCTGTGGTATGGCTGCTACAGGTTTGCAGAAGAGTTCCACTCATCCTAAGCAATGGGTAGAACTGCTCTAGAGTATAAACAAAATCAATAAAACAAATATCTGTGATCTTACCTTAATCTGGGAGGCATATGGGAATGATTCAAATACAATACGTGTCGTGACCTGGAACACTAGTAAAATTCAAGCACAAGCTCAGCACATGATTCCAGTGAGGACCAAACAAGATCACCTGGATAGAGAATAAGCGATGCATTTTGTGGGAGTCTGTTATCTTCAGTAATGCTTACTACTCGCCAAGTTGCAGTTATGCTATCATAGTCAAATGGTAATGGTGGCAACATGAACCTAGTTTCAGATTCCTTCTTTTACTGTGCAACCTACCACAGTTTAAATTATATATCAAAGACTATAAGGGGCACTTATTATTATAATAATAATAATAATAATAATAATAATAATAATAATAATAATAATAATAATAACTGTTATTATTATTATTATTATTATAGTACCAACATTTATATAGTACCAACAGATTTATATATTAAAAAAAAGAAAAGCGCTTTACAATTATACAGTGGGGATTTTGACAGTAACTTACATACAGGATATAATAGAGGCAAGAGGTGAAGAAGGCTCTGCTCAAAGGAGCTTACAATCTATGCAATTTTTTTATGTTCTCTTTCACAAAGTTGTTTTTTTGTGGTTTTGCAACCAAAATGACTCCTACGCAATAGGGGGAGAGGGAGGGGGGTATAAAAAACAACTTTGTGAAACAGAACTCAAATTATGTGAATTTATGTTGTTAATAATGGCAAACCTTTAAAAAAAACCCATCAAAACCAAAATAATTTGTTCATATCTCTTTTTTGGGGGGAACTGGTAACCTATTCAGCCATAAGACTAAGGGTCCCCAAGTATATGTTTACTTTGTGGGTAAAGAGTTTGGGAAACACATGGCTTTAGCCTTCTTTTATTTTAGAAGCTGCCTCCCCACAGCTCAAAGGATAATAGAAGGCATGCATGACTACTGTCGCCCTCCAATCTGTATTGTAACCTAACCTTTCAATAATTTGCAAATGGGAAGTTTGGGTCTATTAGGTGTATTAGCCTTTTGAGGAAGAAAGAGAGAAAGAAAAGAATAAAATTAATACTTAGGTTTTTTTTTCCTTTTTCAAGAAATGCATAATTTACAAGCAGCAACTGTATCTAAGCCATATATAAGTAATGTGTAACGACAAGCATAATGTTGCTACTACAGAACCAATCTCATGGTAATATTATTAGCTGAAAATGTGCTAAAGATAATACTATGTTATAACTGTTTTTTTAAACTCTATTATTTTCTTATTTCGGCACAACAATTACTTCTTCCTGGACTGAATGCGAGGGAAGTTAACAATAAAACACTGGAACTTTGCCAGTTTAACAGACAAAGGCAACACATTATTTCAAGACCAAATTCGTGTCTCAGAGTTCAAGACTTATCCGGAGATATCTTGCCTTAAGCAAGGAAAATGCAGGGTTGTGGTCATTTATTTGGCGCCTATGGATGACAAGTCCAAAATGGTGCTTAAACAATGCCCTTCTTACTAACCTACAAAGCTGTATGGCTATCAATACTACTCTGCAGACAAGCCTTATTACTGACCTACATGATAATTTACTTAATGCCATAATGAGAGTTGACATCTAAGCCACAGGCACACTAAATTGATAATGAACTCCGTTTTTTCAAGAGAATAATTATTGTGATTATCTTTATTACAAATATCAGGCTCTTCAAGTTTAAAGTTTTTTTTTCATCCTAAATTATATTGTTAGGGGTCACGAAATGTAATATTCTTATTTAGTTTTATTATTGTTTGATGCTGCTAATGCAATAGTCAAATTGAAGACACATTCTAAACACATTTACTGCTAAATACGTGGATTGCTTTTTTTGGATGTTTTATATTATTGAATTACTCAAATGTATTTAAAGCTGATCTGTTACATGGTTTAGTGTTATTAAATCTCAATCAAACATGTCAATAAATCGTTTTGTTTCTATAATACATATATATATCTACTTCAAAAGGTGTCTTGTTTTTAAATCGTTAGCATGTATAAGATAGGTGCACAGTGAAAAAATTCAGTTAAGCTGCTACATTTTTTAGAAATAGAACATTTTTTTGAATGCCGGAATTTGGGCCATAAAACAGTTACATAGTTACATAGTTACATAGTTACATAGCTGAAAAGAGACTTGCGTCCATCAAGTTCAGCCTTCCTCACAAATGTTGTTGCTGTTGATCCAAAAGAAGGCAAAAAACCTGGTCTGAAGCGCTTCCAATTTTGCCACAAACTAAGAAAAAATTCCTTCTTGACCCCAAAATAGAAGTCGGATGTCTCCTTGGATCAAGCAGCTATTACCCCACTAATTAGAAATTATATCCCTGTATGTTATGTTTTTGTAAGTATTTATCCAATTTCAGTTTAAACATCTGTGTGGACTCTGACAAAACCACCTCTTCATGCAGAGAATTACATATCCTTATTGTTCTTACTGTAAAAAAACCTTTTCTTTGCCTTAGATGAAATCTCCTTTCTTCCAGCCTAAATGTGTGACCTTGTGTCCTATGTATAGCCCTGTTTATGAATAGATTTCCAGATAAAGGTTTGTACTGGCCCCGAATATATTTGTATAAAGTTATCATATCCCCTCTCAGGCGCCGTTTTTCCAAACTAAACAGATTTCATTTTTTTAACCATTCTTCATAACTAAAATGCTCCATTCCTTTTATCAATTTTGTAGCTCGTCTCTGGACCCTCTCCAGTGCCATGATATCCTTCTTTAGAACAGGCACCCAAAGTTGCACAGCATATTCAAGGTGTGGTCTTACCAGCGATTTATAAAGAGGCAAAATTATATTTTCATCCCGAGAATTTATGCCCCTATTTATACATGACAAAATCTTACTGGCCTTAGCAACTGCAGATTGACATTGCATATTGCTGCCTAATTTGTTGTCTATAACAATTCCCAAATCCTTCTCGTGTGTGGTTATCCCTAATTCACTACCATTTAGTGTGTAAGTTGCTTGTGCATTCTTAACCCCGAAGTGCATAACTTTGCATTTCTCTATGTTAAATTTCATCTGCCATTTTAATGCCCAGTCCCCCAATCTATCCAAATCTCTCTGCAGCAAAGCAATATCCTGCTCACATTTTATTACTTTAGAAAGTTTTGTGTCATCTGCAAACACTGATACATGGCTTTCAATGCCTATTTTAAGATGATTTATAAATATGTTAAATAGAAGTGGTCCCAAAACAGAACCCTGAGGGACACCACTTACCATTTTTGTCCAGCCTGAAAATTTACCATTAATTACAACTCATTGTACTCTATCCTTAAGTCAATGTTCTACCCAAGAACAAGAATATTCATCTAGACCAATTTCTTTTAGTTTGAAGACTAACCTATTGTGAGGAACCGTATCAAATGCCTTGGCAAAATCCAAGGAGCTCAACTCCTGATGCATGGAGAAAAGGTCTCCACAAGCCTCTGCTATTGTGTACATAGTTTATACTAAGTGACCCATAGGTTGAGGAGGTGGTGACCGTGGCGGTGTAGGTAGAAGCGGTGGTGGTGGAGAAGAATGAGGTAGCCAACATTGTTTTTTATTTGTTTGTTTTGCTTTTTTTTATTTTTTTTATTGGGGTAGCCCCCCAAATATTGGGACATATAAAAAATAAACATTTGCGGCCTGCGGTGCATTTCTTGCAGTCCTGATGAATTGAGAAATGCTCAACTCCTGATGCATGGAGAAAAGGCCTTCACAAGCCTCTGCTATTGTGTACATAGTTTATACTAATTGACCCATAGGTTGAGGAGGCGGTGACTGTGGCGGTGTAGGTGGAAGCGGCGGTGGAGGAGGAGGAGGTAGCTGTTTGATATATATATATATATATATATATATATATATATATTTTTTTTTTTTAATTGGGGTTGCCCCCAAAATATTAGGACATATAAAAAAATACAACTCTGTTCCGCAGAGTAGCTGTTGACATTATAGTTGCGCAGGCAATTTGTTGACTCTAGAGAACCTCGGGCAAATAGTACATCCCCGTGACGGCGACTTTGCATTCGGATGTCATCCATATCAACTTTTGATGCCAGTTTCTGCACCTACCATGGTGACCACGGGTAATGGGGACTCAGGGTTACATTCCATGCATGGACCCTGAGAAACGGTTACCACATGCAAGGAAGGCAGCAGGCGCCCAAATGACTTACTTCCGACGCGGGAAGGTAGTGACGACAAATAACAATCCTGTTCCAAGTTGCAGATCAGTCTGGTGATGGCTTCTGGTTTCCAGTACTCTTTTTACTGAAGCTGCATCAGGGTCCTGGTATGTGGCCGCAAAAATGCTGGTGCTCAACACCAGAGGGCATGTGGTTACCCTGCTAATCCATTCCACACTGTGACTCCTAACTTCAACATCAGGCATACTGGGTCTGGGTCCCGGTCACCGGACTGCCCTCCTGACTGTAAAACTGCGAATGGCTCGTTAAATCTGTTATGGTTCCTTTTATCGCTCCATCTGTTACTAGGATAACTGTGGGAATTCTAAAGATAATACATGCCGACAAGCGCTAGGGGACGGCCGCTCCGCTTTTGCACCCTGCTCCCTCTTATGCTGTGCTGGTGCCTCTGTGCGACCAGCGCCTCTTCCTCCAAACTGCACATGTCACTCACATGACCTTGATTCCATGTGGTGTCTAGGACCTCATCATCCTCAAAATCATCTTCCACCCACTCCTCAACCCTGCCCTCCTTGCTGGTATGCACACTGCAGAAAGCCACAGCAGTTGGCACCTGTGTTTTTCCAGCATGTAAAGTCTTCAAAGGACATATGGAAATTGTTTTAGAATTGTATCCAGGCAACAATTTTCCCTATAAACTGACCTCTCAGTTTGACTTGTGAGAGTATTGCCCCAGAATTACAATATTGTTTAAGTACCTCTTAGCTATTGAAAACTGGTTTAAATATAGCAGCTTGTTATCTGGTAGTTTCTAGTGTAGAAAATATCAATCTGTTTTCTATCACTTAGATCTGTGTAACAAGCATTGTAGGTGTGAAACAATATTACAAGTGACCGATGTAGTAAACTACGAAGTTACGCTTCGATTTGATTCTCAGATATGAAGTGCACACCCCAAATATACTACTTAGCATAAACATTTTTTTTTTAATTTACTTTTTAAAAATCCAATGTAAGCAGCAGATTAGCAGCAAAACAATTATAATGTTTACAATTGCGCTGTAAGCGCACTATTTGATGCTTCTATTTGACTCTCAGATATGAAGTGCACGCCCCAAAATGTACTATTTAGCAGTTTACCAGCAAAACAATTAGAATGTTTACAACTGCGCTGTAAGCGCACTATTAGACGCTTCTATTTGATTCTCAGATATGAAGAGCAGGACACAATATGGACTATTTAGCAGATTAGCACCCATAAAATAAGAATGTTTACCACTGTGCTGTAAGCACACTATTAGACCCTTCTATTTGACTCTCAAATATGAAGAGCAGGCCCCAAAATGTACTATTTAGCAAATTAGCACAGAGAAAATGAGAATGTTTACCACTGCGCTGTAAGCACACTATTGGACACTTCTATTTGACTCTCAGATAAGAAGAGCAGGCCCCAAAATGTACTTTTTATCAGTTTAGCAGCAAAACAATTAGAATTTGTACCACTGCGAGGTATGCAAACTATTAGACACTTCTATTTGACTCTCAGATATGAAGAGCAGGCCCCAAAATGTACTATTTAGCAGATTAGTACCCATAAAATAAGAATGTTTACCACTGCGCTGTAAGCACACAATTAGACTCTTCTATTTGACTCTCAGATATGAAGAGCAGGCCCCAAAATGTACTATTTAGCAGATTAGCACCCAGAAAATAAGAATGTTTACCACTGCGCTGTAAGCACACTATTAGACGCTTCTATTTAACTCTCGTATATGAAGGGAAGGCCCCAAAATGTACTATTTAGCAGATATGCAGCAAAACAATTAGAATGTTTACCACTGCGCTATAAGCACACTATTAGATGCTTCTATTTGACTCTCAGATATGAAGAATAGGCCCCAAAAAGTACTATTTAGCAGTTTAGCAGCAAAACAATTAGAATGTGTACCATTGCGCTGTAAGCACACTATAAGACGCTTCTATTTGACTTTCAGATATGAAGAGCTGGCCCCAAAATGTACTATTTAGCAGATTAGCACCCAGAAAATAAGAATGTTTACCCCTGTGCTGTAAGCACACTATTAGACGCTTCTATTTAACTCTCAGATATGAAGGGAAGGCCCCAAAATGAACTATTTAGCAGATATGCAGCAAAACAATTAGAATGTTTACCACTGCGCTATAAGCACACTTTTAGATGCTTCTATTTGACTCTCAGATATGAAGGATAAGCCCCAAAATGTACTATTTAGCAGTTTAGCAGCAAAACAATTAGAATGTGTACCACTGCACTGTAAGCACACTATTAGAAGCTAATATTTGACTCTCAGATATGAAGAGCAGGACACAATATGTACTATTTAGCAGATTAGCACCCAGAAAATAAGAATGTTTACCACTGCGCTGTAAGCACACTATTAGACGCTTCTATTTAACTCTCAGATATGAAGGGAAGGCCCCAAAATGTACTATTTAGCAGATATGCAGCAAAACAATTAGAATGTTTACCACTGCGCTGTAAGCACACTTTTAGATGCTTCTGTTTGACTCTCAGATATGAAGAGCAGGCCCCAAAATGTACTATTTAGCAGTTTAGCAGGAAAACAATTAGAATGTGTACCACTGCGCTGTAAGCACACTACTAGACACTTCTATTTGACTCTCAGATATGAAGAGCAGGCCCCAAAATGTACTATTTAGCAGATTAGCACCCAGAAAATAAGAATGTTTACCACTGCGCTGTAAGCACACTATTAGACACTTCTATTTGACTCTCATATATGAAGAGCAGGCCCCAAAATGTACTATTTAGCAGATTAGCAGCAAAACAATTAGAATGTTTACCACTGCGCTGTAAGCGCACTATTAGACGCTTCTATTTGACTCTCAGATATGAAGTGCACCCCACTAAAATACTATTTAGTAGTTTAGCACCCAAAAAATTTAAGTTTTAAAACTGCAATGTGACAGCAGTATTTGACGATTCTATTTGACTCTCAGATATGAAGTGCACCCCACTAATGTACTATCTCACTAATGTACTATTTAGCACAAAAAAAAATTGACTTTTTAAAATTCTGATGGCTGTGATAGCTTCTAAGGGCACACGACTCAAATGCTTGTTGATTTGCTGCCCTGCAGCCTTTGAAAATGCGCCATTAAATCGCCAAACACCAAACTCCAACCCGAACATACAGTGATATGTCCGTGTTGGGGCCCGGGGTCCAAAAAACATAATGTTCGGTACGAACCCGAACTTTACAGTCCGGGTTCGCTCAACTCTACTAATCAGTCCAAATTCGGATAAATTGCAGTTCAGAACAAAATAAATGTATTGGCTATATTGACTTTGCAAACTATATAGGTATTGCTTGCTGTTTTGAGATTAAAATATTAATTAGAGTCACTTTCTTTGTGACATGGTTTATGACCAGAGGTCAGTCAGTAAGTAGTCAAGTGCAAATAGCGGAGACTCAAAAAAAAAAATAAGCATTAAATGCAAATTAATATTTTTACTAGATCTTAGATGGTCTACAGAAAAAAAAGTTAGAAAATAGAGTAATCATTTATTTACCTTTGCAAGAACTATAAAACAGGACACTTCTTGGCAAACTAAAATTTCATATAATAAAGTATTTTTTTCTAGAAAAATAGTGTGTCATGTTAAAAAAAATAAAAATAATAATATATATATATGTATATATATATATATATATATATATATATATATGATTTATATGCAATGTACATTACATCTTTGGCAGATTGTTTTCCTGGCACTGCAGGTCCCCTCTCCCTCACACCCCATCCCAAGTTGCTGAAGGGGTTAAAACCCCTTCAGTGACTTACCTGTAACCAGCGCCGATGTCCCTTGGTGCTGGGTCAGGGTCCGCCCACGCTCCTCCCCCGCTGACGTCAGCCGGTGGGGGAGACCTATTGCACATGTGCGGCCGGCAGCGGGGGAGACATGATGCGCATGCGCGGCAATGCCACGCATGAGCATTAGACCTCCCCATAGGAAAGCATTGAATTATACTTTCACTGCTTTTCTCTGGGGATTTTGGTGATGCTGGAGGTCCTCACATAGCGTTATAACACACTTTTTGTGTTCTATGAGCACAGAAGTGTCCTCTAGTGGCTGTCTAATAGACAGCCACTAGAGGAGGACTTAACCCTGCAAGGTAAATATTGCAGTTTATGAAAACTGCAATAATTACACTTGCAGGGCTAAGGGTAGTGGGAGTTGGCACCCAGACCACTCCAATGGGCAGAAGTGGTCTGGGTGCCTGGAGTATCCCTTTAAGTGGACCTGACATTTTAAATCCTTCTTTAACAAAATCTATAGGATAGGCCTATAACCTTCAAATAATTTGAAAAAACGCTGCCTGAGACAAGGAGAAGTCTGGATCCCAGAGATACTCAAATACATTCTAAGAGTCAAGGAAACTGGAAAATGGCATAGTCAAAAACAATCCAAGTAAATAGACTAATGTGGGAGGAAACAAAATTGAAGAAAACACTTAAAGAGTACTAGAAAGGAAAAATAATTTAGCAAGAGTAGGACAAAAATAAAGCATCAAAACAACTTTAGCTTAACCCCTTCCCGACCGCAGATGGAAATTTTCCGTCAACCTTGTCCTTCAGTTACGGACCGTTGACGAAAAATTTCCGTCATTTACTAAAGTTAACCCCAGATTGCCGCGAGGGTTAACAGTGCTCCAGTCTGCCTCTATATTAGAGACAGACTGGGAGGACTGGATCGCGCTGCCCCAGCACCGGTGCACTCTCTGACAGGCTGTCAGAGTGAGCACATGTGCTGTATATACTTACCTTCCGCCTCCCTCCACTTCCGGGTTCTGTGTGAAGTGCAGGGAGACGGATCAGTGCTGCTGATCTTCTCCCTGTGTAAAAAAAAAATAAATAAAGTTAAATCCCACCCCCCCTTTCCCATGCTTTAATAAAATTAACCCCTTCCCTGCCAATTGATCACTGACTACAGTACAGACAACTGACTACAGTGATCAATTGGCAGGGTATACATTTTAATGTCATCTGA